TATCGCCAAGATAAGTGATGAAGATTATTATCGCCAAAAAAATTAAGAGGATCTATTATCTTAAGCCGTTCACACAGAGGTAAGTGTGCCTTTTTGGTATGTATCGCCAAGATAAGTGATGAAGATTATTATCGCCCAGAAAATTAAGAGGATCTATTATTTTAAGCCGTTCACACAAAGGTAAGTGTGCCTTTTTTTGGTAGGTATCGCCAAGATAAGTGATGAAGATTATTATCGCCAAAAAAAATTAAGAGGATCTATTATTTTAAGCCGTTCACACAGAGGTAAGTGTGCCTTTTTGGTAGGTATCGCCAAGATAAGTGATGAAGATTATTATCGCCAAAAAAATTAAGAGGATCTATTATTTTTAAGCCGTTCACACAGAGGTAAGTGTGCCTTTTTTTGGTAGGTATCGCCAAGATAAGTGATGAAGATTATTATCGCCCAGAAAATTAAGAGGATCTATTATTTTAAGCCGTTCACACAGAGGTAAGTGTGCCTTTTTGGTAGGTATCGCCAAGATAAGTGATGAAGATTATTATCGCCAAAAAAATTTAGAGGATCTATTATTTTTAAGCCGTTCACACAGAGGTAAGTGTGCCTTTTTGGTATGTATCGCCAAGATAAGTGATGAAGATTATTATCGCCCAGAAAATTAAGAGGATCTATTATTTTAAGCCGTTCACACAGAGGTAAATGTGCCTTTTTGGTAGGTATCGCCAAGATAAGTGATGAAGATTATTATCGCCCAGAAAATTAAGAGGATCTATTATTTTAAGCCGTTCATACAGAGGTAAGTGTGCCTTTTTTTGGTAGGTATCGCCAAGATAAGTGATGAAGATTATTATCGCCAAAAAAATTAAGAGGATCTATTATTTTAAGCCGTTCACACAGAGGTAAGTGTGCCTTTTTGGTATGTATCGCCAAGATAAGTGATGAAGATTATTATCGCCCAGAAAATTAAGAGGATCTATTATTTTAAGCCGTTCACACAGAGGTAAATGTGCCTTTTTGGTAGGTATCGCCAAGATAAGTGATGAAGATTATTATCGCCCAGAAAATTAAGAGGATCTATTATTTTAAGCCGTTCACACAGAGGTAAGTGTGCCTTTTTGGTAGGTATCGCCAAGATAAGTGATGAAGATTATTATCGCCCAGAAAATTAAGAGGATCTATTATTTTAAGCCGTTCACACAGAGGTAAATGTGCCTTTTTGGTAGGTATCGCCAAGATAAGTGATGAAGATTATTATCGCCAAAAAAAATTAAGAGGATCTATTATTTTAAGCCGTTCACACAGAGGTAAGTGTGCCTTTTTGGTAGGTATCGCCAAGATAAGTGATGAAGATTATTATCGCCAAAAAAATTAAGAGGATCTATTATCTTAAGCCGTTCACACAGAGGTAAGTGTGCCTTTTTGGTATGTATCGCCAAGATAAGTGATGAAGATTATTATCGCCCAGAAAATTAAGAGGATCTATTATTTTAAGCCGTTCACACAAAGGTAAGTGTGCCTTTTTGGTAGGTATCGCCAAGATAAGTGATGAAGATTATTATCGCCAAAAAATTAAGAGGATCTATTATTTTAAGCCGTTCACACAGAGGTAAGTGTGCCTTTTTGGTAGGTATCGCCAAGATAAGTGATGAAGATTATTATCGCCAAAAAAATTAAGAGGATCTATTATTTTAAGCCGTTCACACAGAGGTAAGTGTGCCTTTTTGGTAGGTATCGCCAAGATAAGTGATGAAGATTATTATCGCCAAAAAAATTAAGAGGATCTATTATCTTAAGCCGTTCACACAGAGGTAAGTGTGCCTTTTTGGTATGTATCGCCAAGATAAGTGATGAAGATTATTATCGCCCAGAAAATTAAGAGGATCTATTATTTTAAGCCGTTCATACAGAGGTAAGTGTGCCTTTTTGGTAGGTATCGCCAAGATAAGTGATGAAGATTATTATCGCCCAGAAAATTAAGAGGATCTATTATTTTAAGCCGTTCACACAGAGGTAAATGTGCCTTTTTGGTAGGTATCGCCAAGATAAGTGATGAAGATTATTATCGCCCAGAAAAATTAAGAGGATCTATTATTTTTAAGCCGTTCACACAGAGGTAAATGTGCCTTTTTTTGGTAGGTATCGCCAAGATAAGTGATGAAGATTATTATCGCCCAGAAAATTAAGAGGATCTATTATTTTAAGCCGTTCACACAGAGGTAAGTGTGCCTTTTTGGTAGGTATCGCCAAGATAAGTGATGAAGATTATTATCGCCCAGAAAATTAAGAGGATCTATTATTTTAAGCCGTTCATACAGAGGTAAGTGTGCCTTTTTGGTAGGTATCGCCAAGATAAGTGATGAAGATTATTATCGCCAAAAAAATTAAGAGGATCTATTATTTTAAGCCGTTCACACAGAGGTAAGTGTGCCTTTTTGGTATGTATCGCCAAGATAAGTGATGAAGATTATTATCGCCCAGAAAATTAAGAGGATCTATTATTTTAAGCCGTTCACACAGAGGTAAATGTGCCTTTTTGGTAGGTATCGCCAAGATAAGTGATGAAGATTATTATCGCCCAGAAAATTAAGAGGATCTATTATTTTAAGCCGTTCACACAGAGGTAAGTGTGCCTTTTTTTGGTAGGTATCGCCAAGATAAGTGATGAAGATTATTATCGCCCAGAAAAATTAAGAGGATCTATTATTTTAAGCCGTTCACACAGAGGTAAATGTGCCTTTTTGGTAGGTATCGCCAAGATAAGTGATGAAGATTATTATCGCCCAGAAAATTAAGAGGATCTATTATTTTAAGCCGTTCACACAGAGGTAAATGTGCCTTTTTGGTAGGTATCGCCAAGATAAGTGATGAAGATTATTATCGCCCAGAAAATTAAGAGGATCTATTATTTTAAGCCGTTCATACAGAGGTAAGTGTGCCTTTTTGGTAGGTATCGCCAAGATAAGTGATGAAGATTATTATCGCCAAAAAAATTTAGAGGATCTATTATTTTAAGCCGTTCACACAGAGGTAAGTGTGCCTTTTTGGTAGGTATCGCCAAGATAAGTGATGAAGATTATTATCGCCAAAAAAATTTAGAGGATCTATTATTTTAAGCCGTTCACACAGAGGTAAGTGTGCCTTTTTTTGGTATGTATCGCCAAGATAAGTGATGAAGATTATTATCGCCCAGAAAAATTAAGAGGATCTATTATTTTAAGCCGTTCACACAGAGGTAAATGTGCCTTTTTGGTAGGTATCGCCAAGATAAGTGATGAAGATTATTATCGCCCAGAAAAATTAAGAGGATCTATTATTTTTAAGCCGTTCACACAGAGGTAAGTGTGCCTTTTTGGTAGGTATCGCCAAGATAAGTGATGAAGATTATTATCGCCCAGAAAATTAAGAGGATCTATTATTTTAAGCCGTTCACACAGAGGTAAATGTGCCTTTTTGGTATGTATCGCCAAGATAAGTGATGAAGATTATTATCGCCCAGAAAATTAAGAGGATCTATTATTTTAAGCCGTTCACACAGAGGTAAATGTGCCTTTTTGGTAGGTATCGCCAAGATAAGTGATGAAGATTATTATCGCCCAGAAAATTAAGAGGATCTATTATTTTAAGCCGTTCATACAGAGGTAAGTGTGCCTTTTTGGTAGGTATCGCCAAGATAAGTGATGAAGATTATTATCGCCAAAAAAATTAAGAGGATCTATTATTTTAAGCCGTTCACACAGAGTTAAGTGTGCCTTTTTGGTATGTATCGCCAAGATAAGTGATGAAGATTATTATTGCCCAGAAAATTAAGAGGATCTATTATTTTAAGCCGTTCACACAAAGGTAAGTGTGCCTTTTTGGTAGGTATCGCCAAGATAAGTGATGAAGATTATTATCGCCAAGAAAATTAAGAGGATATATTTTTAAAGCCGTTCACACAGAGGTGAGTATGCCCTTTTTGTAAGTCAGAAAACGATTTATTACGCGTGTTGTTGCCCTAATTTCACCGTAAAAGCGTGATGCGTTTGCATGTCTGTGGCTCTTTTCTTCTACTCCTACTGGACCGATCTCAGTTCTTTTTTGAGGAATCATGCGACCAATCACTAAAGCAATGAGAGAATCTTAATGGTTTCGCATTGACATTTGTGTTCTTCTTAACAGGTTTCCAGAGCCGGCGCCAACAAACGCAAAGTGTTAAAAATGAGCGCATGCTATCTTTTTGAATAATGCCGGAGAGGACGTGGTTTCTTCTAACTGTTTGGCTGTATTTCGTCTGGTCCGTATGTGGTTCTAGTTCAAACCTCTACAAAATTTCAGGGAGAGAAAACAATACTGAAAAAAAGGAATTCAAGATGATTTCGCAACTTTTATAGGCTCCAATCGAGTTGTGGAGTTATTTTATTTGGCCATAATAAAGCGTGACGGCCTTTTCCGTTTAGATTATCAGTTTTCTCGACTATCTTTGCCATGGTCATAATCGCGTATTATGGTCACGTTTTTTTGCAGACTTTTCAGAAAAACGTCGGGCAGGCGCTGAACCGTTTTTTAGCAAGATTATCGGCCGACAAACACGAAGATCTCCTTGTCCGAGTGTGCCGGTTCAGAGTTCAGGATGCTGAAAAATAGGTGGGCATCGGACAGCTTGAGGGATTATTTGCATTTGGGTGTTTTCGGCAGATTTCGGTCATTAGGATCGTTTTCCTCGTCATCCTCGCCACAGTTCCAATTGGACTTCATGCAGCAGGATCATATCGAAGCTAATTAGATTATGTTCGGTTTCTTACATCTTTTTCTACACAAATTTATTGAAAAATAAATATATAAAGGAAAAAAATAACAATTTTTGGCAACAACTGACTAGAGAGCTCATGGGGGAAGAAAACGACCAGCCAAATGAAGAAGGACTACGGTAGACAGGGACAAGAAACTTGAGTTGAGTTTGAGGGGATTGAGCAATAATATCTAACGTGAGTACATTGAGAAACAATTCAAAGAATAATGAGGAACTACAAAAGTCCTTTGGCAAAATCTACAACAACTTGCATCATTTCTACACGATCCACACTGTTGGGCATGTTGAAAAGTCCGTGGAAAGCACGAGGGAAGTGATGCCATTCGGTGCGAACTCCGGTCGATTTCAACTTTTCGGCATATTGAATTCCCTCGTCTCTGAAAAATCGGCGATTTGCGACACCAATAGAGAATATAATTCCACTTTTAGACGGGCCGCTACAAGTCTGCTATTAAGAGGCAATGTCTGAGAACCTCGAAATTCGCTAATTACACGAGGTCACTAAAAATTCAGAATGCTTCAATTTGTCTCATATTATACCCAATGGGTACTTACATAACAGTGATACATCAGACAAGTTTTGGTCCGGCTCCGTAGTCTCTAGTCCGATCACGGTCACAAAATAGGTCAAACCTGTAACTAATTTAAAAAAAATGCTAGCGTCTCAGACTCAAGGCCATTTGATTTCTCGCATCTTTTTAAGCATTTTTCATGTTGGCACCAAAAATTTATCACCTTTCCTTCATAGAGAAATTTCGGATTTTTCGTGAAAAAGTTGAGTTGTTGTGCAGTTTTCCTCCGTGGTGAAAATTTTTTGCACTTCATAGCCACGATTTTATTTCAAATTCATAATCTACGGACAATTTTACGTCGATATACCATACTGTCGCACATTTGCCGATTGACATCAAAGGAGTTTTTTTCAAAAGTTTGAACCGGTCTCAAAAAAAAGTTTCTGTTCTGCTTTTGGAAAACTTACAGAAACAAGGGAATTCCTGTTTATAGACGTTTTTCATGCTAAAAACTGTAATTCTGTTATGTATTCGTCAGGTACAGCTTTGTAAACGTAGCGATTAAAACATGTTGAAATTTTTTGTCAGCCGGATAGATTTTTCGAGATGTGTTCGCTTTTACCCAATATTTTATGCTTTCTCTCGTTTTTATTTTTCAATGTTCATCTTACTTTTTGTGAAGCATTTATTTGGTCGTTCTCCGATTGATTCAAGAACGGTAAACAAGAAGTACATATTATAGGGGCACCGCACAGAAATGGCGCTCTGTTGAGAAACTCTTTTTGCAGTTCAAATTGAGCGACCTCGGGGCCGAGTTTGAAAGTTAGGCCACATTTTCAGTGGAAAACTACTTCCTTCCACGAGTCATCCTTCATTTCTTGAGCGCATCGCGATCGTGCTGCTTTTGATTGCCTTTTCGCTGCTTCACGGGAGAAGAACCCGGCAATCTGACGGAAGTCTTTCCTTTGATCCATTGAAAACCGCTTAGAACCGTCCGGATTTCTAGCTTCTGCCATTCTCTTTTCAACAATTCTCGGATCCGCATGTCGACATTTCTTACTTGAAGTACCCATCCGTCCTCCAATTCCGTCTTCTCGTTCGTCTCCTTCAGTTTTTTCACAGCATTCGAAATTATTGGGCAACTTTTTGACCACTTCTTCCAAACCACGAATAAATTATTTCAATGAAAAATCACGAAGTGTCTGCTGCCGTTCAGGTCGAATTATATGTTGTCCACGTTCAACATGCTCGACCACGCTTGAATATCTCAAAAATGTAGCTGAGCATCCTTCCTCTGGGCATGTAAATATCTTTTCCAAAGCGTCTTCGTACCGCGGTCTCACTTCATCGCTTTCCACTTCATTTTCATCTTCTTCTTCAATGCAAGCAGTGTTTTGAGAATCAGTTGACTTAGTACATTCCGGAAAGTACCAAAACTTGGTCTGCTTCTGCGACAGTACAGCATTTCGTTCTTCATCAATAGACCCAATCACAGTTGAAGTGTATCCGGCATGTTGGAACTCGTATGTTCCAGTCAATGACTTCAAATTGCTTGACGGAACAAATTGACCATTGCAAGAGCAACTGTACAATCAGGAAAACAATGAGTTTCATTATAATCTGTAATATTGACGATCTAATAATATCAGCAGTTTGAAAATAGGAAGAAGAATAGCTACCCAAAATTTGCTTTGTGCTCTTATACCTATTTGATGTACTTTTGTTGTTGAGTGTTGCCCCATGTGTATTATAGGGGCACCAAACGGAAAAGGCGCGCTGTTCGCAATCTGGCCGAATTTCTAGGCCGCGAAGTAATTTTCTACTGAAAATGTGGCCTAACTTTTCAAACTCGGTCCCGAGGTCGCTCAATTTGAACTGCAAAAAGAGTTTCTCAACAGAGCGCCATTTCTGTGCGGTGCCCCTATAATATGTACTTCTTGTTTACCGTTCTTGAATCAATCGGAGAACGACCAAATAAATGCTTCACAAAAAGTTAGATGAACATTGAAAAATAAAAACGAGAGAAAGCATAAAATATTGGGTAAAAGCGAACACATCTCGAAAAATCTATCCGGCTGACAAAAAATTTCAACATGTTTTAATCGCTACGTTTACAAAGCTGTACCTGACGAATACATAACAGAATTACAGTTTTTAGCATGAAAAACGTCTATAAACAGGAATTCCCTTGTTTCTGTAAGTTTTCCAAGAGCAGAACAGAAACTTTTTTTTGAGACCGGATCAAACTTTTGAAAAAAACTCCTTTGATGTCAATCGGCAAATGTGCGACAGTATGGTATATCGACGTAAAATTGTCCGTAGATTATGAATTTGAAATAAAATCGTGGCTATGAAGTGCAAAAAATTTTCACCACGGAGGAAAACTGCACAACAACTCAACTTTTTCACGAAAAATCCGAAATTTCTCTATGAAGGAAAGGTGATAAATTTTTGGTGCCAACATGAAAAATGCTTAAAAAGATGCGAGAAATCGAATGGCCTTAAGTCTGAGACGCTAGCATTTTTTTGAAATTAGTTACAGGTTTGACCTATTTTGTGACCGTGATCGGACTAGAGACTACGGAGCCGGACCAAAACTTGTCTGATGTATCACTGTTATGTAAGTACCCATTGGGTATAATATGAGACAAATTGAAGCATTCTGAATTTTTAGTGACCTGCAGTTTTTGAACTTCTCAGACATTGCCTCTTAAACTTAACTCACTTCAAAACGTCATATCCAGCAGTGAGAACCAGTGCTGGCGGCAAACCTTCAGTATCTCCAAACAGAGGCGAAACATCTGGGTTGGTTCCGATTTTCATAAATTTCTCAGCCAACTCATAATCAATCTTTTTCTCCGGTTTTCGTTCTTTCAAGTGGTACAACCAACGAGAATACTGCTTTTGATCGGCTAGTTCCCTGGAAAACATTCGTTCAATTGAAAAAACTCTCTCAACCTACGGTAGAGCATGCTGAGAGTTCATGACTTTCTTGATGTTCTCTTTGGATGCTTCAAATCCAAGATACAACAATATCCATCTGGCCATATGCTTCGGATTCAGAAGTGCTGTTCCTGCATACGTCTTCCAGTAATCTTGATACGATGCGCTTTGGAAATTGAAGACGTGAATCACCGGGTAGATCAAAATTTGACCTTTCACAAAGTCTTTTTTGTCTTGTACAAGTCTTTGAGAGACTATCGCTGCCAAGTTTCCACCGGCACTGTCTCCACCAATGAGAATCTTTCGCTTGTTGAATTGAAGAGTTTCACATCTGAAAATAATAGCATTAACCGTTAATTAGCCATTCAATAAAAGTTTGTCCATAGTTTTGGCCCGTCATGTCTTTTTAGCAATGCTCACCCGGTTTCATGAAGCTCATTTACAACAGCAGAGCAATCATTGAGTCCTGCCGGAAATGGATGTTCCGGTGCTAAGCGATAATTGATGGAAACTGCACAGCAACCGATTTTCTCGACCAGTTGATACATGATTCCATCGTAATAGCCTCAAGATCTGAGGTATTGTCTGATTTTGAATCGATCGACTCACGAGCTTCACCAACACACCAGCCGCCACCGTGAATGAAGACGAGAATACCGTCTGATTGTTTCTTTTCGATGTCGTAAGTAATGCAACTTACTCCTGCGATGCGGGCCCTTTTTCTCTGAAATGGAAAGACTAGGGTACAAAGTTGGCATGATCCGGGCCAACGAGCCGGCCGGCCCGGCTATTACAAGTTATCGGGAAATTCTTCGAAAAAATTACAGAAACAACTTACAGTTATTCCTTTCGGCGGTCTCATCGGGATCAAAAAACCGATACCCATCACAAATCTTGTCACCTTGTTCCTTACCGTTGCTCCAAACACATTTTCGAACAAATCACCCTGAAACAGTAACAGTTTGATTTGTGAAAAGTTGTTTTTTTTTCAAGCTTCAGAACGCTTCCAGAGGTTCCAAACTGTTCTACTTGTTCAGTACCATGGTTCACATCTTGTCGTCAGGATTCAAAACGTGTACCCAAATTTTGCCGGGCACATTTGAAGCCCGAGATAACGTTGTTGGAAGAAATATTGAGACCGTTTTTACAAGTTTTTGCAAGAAATTTGGAATTTGCAGGAGTTTGGAAAATACTTTTTAAATTCAAATCGAAACCAGGAACCTACTCACCAAGTATTCATTCGACAATCTCAACAAAAACTCTGCCACTGCTAACTTTGAGCGGTCGGATATATCGTGTGGTAGAGGAATGTGGAGTAGATAGAAGGATCCGGCAAAGAAGAGGAAAATGAGAAGCCAATAGAGCCAGTGCACCCACTCCATGGCTTGTCTAGAATGGTAAAATGAATGTATTGGGAAAGATGTCTTGTTTATAAGGCAAAAGTTGTAGGTTGGGTAGAGAGTGACAAAACCATATCATAAACTGATAACTAACACACACATTGCGTTGTGACCTACTTATTTGTGCAAATGCATATGATCGGCCGTTGTTTACAATCAAAAACGTTTGAATGTAAAGGGAAAGGACCTAGTGGAGGTAATTGGAACACGCGATTACATCTCCAAAGTCCCCCCCTCCGATCGGTTTCGCTTCACAGTTTTGTGTCCGGTGGTCGTCCGCGCAGTCTTCTATGCAAATTTATTTACGAGTACCATTCCCCCACTTATACACACACACACACACACACTTTTCGAATTTTCCTTCGGAACAAGGAACGTCCGGATGAATGTTGCTATTGGACAGGAAGGGGAGGGATAGCCGGTGACTATGACCTACTTGTGAACAGGCACACCGCTTAGTTCAAATAGAGACAAAACTGTGCGTGTGGGGTGGGTTGAAAGCAATAAGAAGAATGTGAGAAGGCGAAAAACGGAAAGTGACGAAAAAAGATTGAGGGCAAAGGTATCGGTTCGTTATCTTTTGCAGATGGACAAAAACGAAGTGTGTGAAGTGTTTTGCACTATTGGAGGTCTTTTGGTAGAACTTGAACTTTGTATTCTCCTTGTTCTTCTTCTTTTTCTCGGAAAAAGTCTGATCGCAATTAGTGAAAGCATTTGGAATCTTGAAGAATCCAAGTGATTAGCCATAATGTGATGGGATTAGACTAAAAGATTCGATTTTCTGGAAAACTACACTTTTGCAAAGAATCCGTTCAAAACCAACTATTTTAAAGGAAAAAACTATGCAACAACAATTATGTCTCGAAAATAGACTACAAATGAATCGGCCAGAGGTACAGATGGGATTGAGTGTTCTCAAAAGAGGGGGAGGCTTGATCCACCGCGTTGGACGAATCCGGTTGTCAATTCGTCTGCTTCTCTCTCTTGCGTCATTGCCATCCGTCCAACGCAGCGTGGTGGCGGGCGTACGCGTACGCAAATTTTTCCTTTTTCATCTGTTTCTTTGCCATCCAAGCCCAGCGCGAAGCTGTTTTAACACACTTGTTGTAATGAAAAGTGAAACTGAAAATTGGATGAGAATTGGAAAAGGTGAAGTGAGGTAAAGTGACAACAGTCGGTGGGCGGAAATGTTTGATGTCGAAAACCTACCGTATCGATATTTTATATTTTGTTTCATTTCCTTGTTATTATGAAAACCAGATTGGATTCATAATAGAGGATAAAGTCCGTGTTCGAAAATTGGAACGAAACGAGTATTTTGATTCATTATCAGACGTGTGCGGGAATAACAATAACAAGTGCTAAAAATAAGGATAAGATGAGTAGGAGGATAGGGAGAGAGACATAAAATCGAGCTCTCAGTACTGGTTAGCCGCTTGTTCTTTCCGTTTGAGTCTCTGTTGGTTGAAGTGATGCGTTAGTGCCATGTAGATCAGCTCGAGGGCTAGACACACAAATTCGCAGCAGGTCATGACTGAAACGCCTGACCAGAGACCGAGATGTCCTCCGAAGTCAGCCATCATCTTGACAATCTAAAAACGTTTTGTAATCTCCCAACTTTTTACGAAAAATCATTGAATTCGTTTCAGCGTTTCTAAATTATGGAAAACCATTCTTAGTCAGTAAGATTCAGAAGGGGACCTCGACGTTCCGAAACCGTGACGTCTCGATATCCATGTGAACCTTGAATAGTGCAATTTATCGCTAAAAAGTTCACGTTTGTTGTGAAACGTCGGGATCCTTCAGAATGTGCTTTGGAGTTTCTGAATAATTGTGTTAGCCTTGTCGGCTTTATATCCACACATTTCCAGACCAGATAATCAGGTCTTCAAGAATTCTGGACCGACCTTCTGCCCAGACCGGGTTGAAAGCTAATTGAAGCTATCTATCGAACCTGACAAGACCCTATAATGCCCACAAATTGAAAGAAACGTACCCCATAAGCTTCAGACTCGGTCAAAACTTCAAAGTTGAGTGCTTCGTAAAACACCTCCAACATAGCCGCGTTTTCCCTAAAAGATAAGTGTCGAGTTCAAGTTCGAAAGTTCAAGTTGGTCGCAAACTGACTTGTACTCCTCATTACACTCCTCTGCTTCCTTTTCACAATGGCCTAATGAAATATTCAGTGCTTGTGACGGCCAAATGGCTTCCGAGTAGGATGTGGTGTAAATTGTTTGATTACACGGCTGTTGGCATCTGGAAAGAGACATGAGGGAAATAAGCTGAAATTGAAGAAAACAGTGTGACGTTGTCCTACCGACACTTGAACGACCCGTGAATCTCTCCGATCTCATGAGTGTGTTTCTCAAGACACTCTCGATGGTTTTTGTTGAACACTTGACACGGTTGAACACCCCCAATCGTCGGAAATCGTGGATCACTGCATCCGCAGCGGTCGATGATCAACTCTTGAAAACAAGTACGATAGCAACCCTGAAATTATTTTATTCATATTTTCCCAAGCTCTCATCACTTTTGTATTCAGTATGATCATTTATGAATTTGATTAAATATCAGTGTGTTCTGAGTGTTTCGATTACGTGCTTCTTTGAAGAAATTAAGGTACATACTTCTGTCGAATAAGCATAGCCTTTGTAGATGTAGTTTGATGTCGCGCCGTCCTCAACACAATCTCCATACGGCGCCGGTAATCTGCTCATCATTTTCTGGCAAAAGGACAATAGCAATAGCGGACTTGGTTCAAGTTAACTTACCATGCGCATGCCGAATGAAGAGATGTAACCAGTTGGCGCCGAGTAGCCGAAAGTGTCCGGGAATGGGAAATCCTCTTTGTCATGGATGGTCAGTCGGATACCGACCGCTTCAGATGTTGGCAGATAGTCACTAGCGTTCACGAACAGCATCACACGGAGTCCTGGACAGTTATGTTGTAGATTCACAATAGACTTTCACATACCGTACTGCGGCCCGGCTCTCAGAGATGCTTTGTGAATCGATCTATCATGGTTGAAGACAAAACAATTACCAAAGGTCGGATCGGCGACCAATTCAAAGTCTCTGAACCGATAATGACCGTAGAACTGTGCGGAACGAGAACAAACTTGTCAATGTCACACGGTTTTCCATTGAACGAGCATTTGTGTATCAAATTGTGTTTTGCTTGTGACATCAAAATTCTGGAATTCACAACAAAGTTAAATAAGCTGGTTGGTCCCCGTTTCTTGCCTTTGCTCTTCCGACAACGCGCTCATCGCAAAAATAATGTTCTCTTTGGCCTTGGTCACAATGGCAACTTCATCGGTCATATTCTGAATGGCAAAATATCAGACAAAGGTCAGACGGGAATCAATCCGTACACCAAAACCCAATGCCTCGCGTTCTTCCGATGTAATGTCTGTTAAATCCTCGGCGTCGCCGAAATACTCCCAGAGATTAAGGACCAACGCGGCCTACAAACGAAGATCATCATTAAGTTCTCCGGTACTCGATTGAACTCACATGCTCATGTTTTATACAAAAAAGTCCCTTGCTTTCGCAAATGCACGGCTCTTTCTTGATTTCCGATCTTTTGGTCCCTAAAATTCAGCTTCCTATACTCTGCTCATTCTTTGTCCGCGGACCAGGAAACACGGAAACCAAGCCCCCTCTCTACCTTTCTTGGCCTTTTTGCTGCATAAATAATGCTCATCACATGTTTGGCATGTAGTATTCGTCCACTGCTCCTAAAAAAAATCTGGTGTGTGTGGGTGACGTTTTTAGCCGGCATATAGTTTTGCAAAAATGAAGAAGGCGGGTCGTTGGTTGGTTGGTTGGGTTGCAACACGGAAGAAGAAGACTTACTCGTCGATGACACGGCCACGCATCATTGGTCTGACGATCGAATGCACAAATACACATGTCATTATCAGTCGACGGCTTTTCAGTGGACCTCTCTTCGCATTCATTGGATCCATCCTCCTCGTCACACTCGCATGCAGAGTTCGCCGGTTCAAAGGTTCCCTTCTCGCCGGCGCCACGTCTTTTTCGTCTCGCTTGGATAGTTATTCCATCCATATCATAGTCACCCTCTCCTTCTGCCGCTACTTCGGTGCTGCTATCGCCCGCTTTCTTCATGACACTTTTGAAGACACCGAGCTAAAACCATCAGGATCAGGACAATGAGTACAAAAACCGAAAAGGAACTTACAATTTTACTAATACTCTCATGTGATCGGATCAAACTGTCTTTATAGGGATTCAAGTTACATAGAGTGATAGCAGGGAATGGAGCTGAAAAGAAACCAATGTTAATTGGAAAGGCTAAAGTACACCTAACCTGTATCAAATTTCAATTGGATATCAGTAATTTTATCCATTTTCTGATACTTTTGAATGACGGCCACAGCTTGATTTATAAATTGAATCGCACAAATAAGCAGGAGAAACACCCACACAGCTCTGAGAGCAAACGTTTTTTGAAGTTACACGATAGTATTTACCTGTATAGACTGTTGGGAGCTTGTCCGAGCATCGGAATACCATGGCTAGAAGTTTTGTAGCAGAATTGTTGCAAATGCCATCGAATTCTCTCCCTAAAACAAAATGTTCATGAATCGTTTTAAAAGTCTCAACCTGTAGGACAATCTGGTCGGATCGATATCGAGTCCGCCATTCTCAGTGAGCAAATCACACTGCACCTCCTTCTCATTCGCATTATTGCTTTCTCCGTACGCATATGACGTCATAATTTCGGCCACATTCAAAAAGTTGGTATCACTCGCCAAATAGTTGGAGAAATCTGTCTTGAAACTTCGAAGAGAACGTAAATCGGCCTCATCTTGGAATCGATTCCGATTTTTTGGGTTTGGTTGGAATTTTAGCATTCGTGCATTTTGATCGTTCATTTTGATGAACTGGTAAAGAAGATGATGAAAAAAGAAAGGCTAGACTGGGATGAGCTTAAGTGTGAGCACGAGCTCCAACTTTCGCTCCGGAATGTTCAGATATTCAATGCATACGCGAACAGAAACAATTTAACCCCTCCATTCCGCTCTTCCTGAAAATCGGTTAGCAATGCATAACATCACTGCCCGGAAATCCTTGTCAACAAATTCCCAGAACCTTCTGCTGCCGCAAATAAACGTTTCCTCCTGTACCCCTCACATAATTTCATCATCATATGCATGTGCTCTGCTTTGCTCTGCTCGCCGTGCCAAAGTTCGTTGATGAAACCGGCCGCGTCTTCGGAAACAGCGTAGTCACGCAAGTCGGTCGATTCACTGATAACGGTTACACGTACAGTGACGAGCACAAGTTTGCATTGATGATGAAAAAAAATCGTTGTCGTTGTCGAGCACTGAAATAATACGTGATTATCATGTGGCTCTGAAGTATGTCAAATTTGGAGCGCGGAACTCGGGAATGGAGCCGAGCCATTGCGAAATTTTCCTGTAGTGTGATGATTTCATTCTTAGGTGATCATGGCTAGAATTATATCTTACAAAAGGCATTCATGCGGAATGACGTGAAACACAAGATTTTGAAGAACCAGGTTCCAATATTTTACAGCTGATCGGGTTGACAAGTCAAAAACAAACAAACTTTCAGATTCAGAACACACTACACTCATCCACTCATCATGCATCCAAACTAGGCACAAATAATGTATAATCTTTTAAGAACATTCCAGACATTTCCAGGTTGGCATGTAATCCAATGATCTTCTGATCCATGTGTTTATTGATTGGTTATCCATCACTTCGAATAGCACATAAAGCATCGACTGCCTGGTCTTTCGTCGTGACAATCGACTATCCGTGCGTTCTGTCAATGAAAAATTATCACAATTTGCCGTTGCCGCCGTCGCGCTTCACCTTTGATCGGACGTGCATTCCGCGTGGGCTGCCCATCGTCACACACTCTGAACACAATAAGCTTTCTAGCGTGGTCTTCGGTAGTTCGGCGTCAAAACCGCACGCGCCACGTCATTTCATTTTATTTCTATTTTGATTTGAGGAAGGGCAATGGTGGGGTGGAAAATTCCGCCTAATCCACATTATTTCCGGTTGGGATTGATCTCTTATTGACCAGGCGCGTCAGATAGGTCTAATGATGATCATTTGATGAAGCAAGACATTCTGGAAATAGTTTATAGTGAACCCCACGTCATTCTTCTCACGTCGGAAGGATTCGGTCAAGAAAGCGTTTCATCTCCTCTAGTACAACCATCTAGAACAAAACAAAGTTCCTCCGTCCCTTTTGGAGCATCTGTGCGTGTGTGGCGAAACCGATCATCACTTGACTAATCACTTAATCAAGTTCCTGTACGTGAGCACGTTATCAGTGCACAATCGGAGACTAACAGTCGTAGCCTTTCATGTTTGAACCTAGTTACATGATGCAACAGTGAAATTACAACGTTTTTTCATTTATTAAATGTTTGGAATACAGTATGAAGACAAATAACAAAGTAAAGGTGTGGCAAAACTAAGGACGACGAAAAAATAGTGATGAGAACACTGAATTTCACACGTTTCAGTATTGGAATTGTTTTGTTTTCTTCTGGGGGTATATGTGCACTTAAGAAAGAAGAACAACAGCGGTTCTGACTAGAATTGGGGTGGGTGTTTTGTTTTTTTGCTGAAGCTGAAAATGAAGCTTGGAAGGAGAGATACGGAGTGGATAAGGGTTGGAGAAGAACGTAAAACATAAGTTAGAGAAAGTAAACTGAATAAGGATTGTGATGGATTATGCATTCGAATATTACAACCAAAGAAGAACTATCATTATTATTGTAGATTGTGACATACAATGCAATGACTACAATGACACTTATGAAAGAACTGGGGACAAGAGGTTGAAGATGATGAAGGAGAGAATAATTATAAAATTTGGAAAAAAAATTCCCTGGAGTTTAGGAGAGAATCACTTTGATTGGCATTGATTGAAAGTTAGATCCGAACTCCTGAAAGACTAAATCAAGTTAACATTGCTAAACTCTCTCAACGTTTGCTCTTACCGAAGCGGCGCTCATGAAGCTTATTGGTGGAGAAGACGTCGTGGGGGCGGGCATTGGCAAAAGTGGAAATAGTTGCGGGTTGTTCATGATTTGAGCCAGCAAATCTTTGTTCATGATGATGTTTGGCGAGATTGATGAGGCGGAAGTAACGGGCGGCTGTTGAATGTTCTGTACCATAGACTTCAAGTCGAGTGGCGGTGATTCGCTGTAAAACGGAACAATGAATAAAGAGGGTTACGGTACTATTTGAGGAGAATTCTTACATCTTTGGACTGACGGTCTCGCGCTTGATGACATCGCCGAGGCCGAAGAGGTCGCTGAGGGTTGGAAACTCCATAATTGTGGCGCTGACCGAGATCAAAGACGGGATGATCATGAGAAGAGAGGAGACACGGAGTGATGCATCAATCGAGTTGTGTGTATTGCTCATGTACGAGAAGAGTGCTTTGAGAAGAGTGTCACGAGCCTCGCGGATCTTTTCCCGTGTAACATTCGAAATTCCGACCACATCTGGATTCAACAGCAGCAACGCTTTCAGGCAACTGAACTCGGCGTGGTCGGCGCGAAGCCGTCGCAGAGGGGTCAACAGCTCATCGATGATTCTGGTGAGTGCCTCAAAGAGCTCTGGTGGGTGAGAGGCCGAGATGCTGAGCACTTGATCGTTTGGGAGAACAAAGTGTGGAAGAGCCATGCTCCGTTGCATGGTGCCCAGAAGAGTGAAGGCAGAGGAAAACTTTTTGAGGAGGAGGACCTGCAAATATTCATATAGTATCATGAAATAGCACATTCTACATTGATCCATATCCGATATGCCAGCCAGCGTAAGGGATCGCATGGGAATCGAGGCAAAGTTCAATCAACAAACAGAGAACGCTAGCGGTGACGTACATGACCGTCATTTTTTAATTCAATCCCTTTTCCTCCTATACACCACAAGATGATAGATGGTTGGCTGTTGCTATTTCCATACCACGCCCTTTCTTCTCTCACTCACTTTATCGGCAAGCGGAACTTCCGGAAGTGGGTGCAACATATTGGTCCATCCAATCAGATAGTTCACGGCTCTCTGTCGGCTGTTCTTCATCTCGGACTCGTCGCGGAGCAGCGCGTTCATACTCTGATTGCTGGCCAGACGGTTTTCAATGTCCAAAAGCATCTCGATCAATTTGCGTGACAGAGAATTTCCCATCACTTCCTGCAAAACGACAACATGCAATCTCATCCCGCATTCGGAAGTCTCTCCACTCACAATCTTTGGGCTCGGAGTGCCTTCCGAATCCGAGTTGTTCTCTGAGTTAGCTCCGCTCCGCTTTCTTCGCTTGGTACTGCCAATACGGTCCCGTTCATTTTGAATCGCTTCGGGCTTCATTCCATCGGCCAGGCACTTTTGGAAACGACAGTACCGGCACGCGTTGCGATGATCTTTATCAATGTTGCACTGCTTGTTGAAGCGGCAAGTGTACTGTAGGTTTTGCCAAACGCTAAAAAGAAACGAGAGGTTCGTTGGGTTCAAAGCTTTTCGGGGGAACAGGATGAGACCGATCTGATCTCTGAGGGTACTTGACTAACCTACGACGAAAAAATCCTTTGCATCCGTTACACGCCACTGCTCCATAGTGTTTTCCGATCGCTTTGTCACCACACACAACACAAAAATCGCTGGATGTGGAGGTGGATTCCGATATCGATGCACTCATTAGAAAGTCCATCTGGAAAGAGAAAATTGGATTACGGTAGTTGAGCAAGAGTTAAGAGTAATGCGAGTTGTGTTCTGAACTACACGTACCCTTCTAAAGGGTAGAAATTGTTGGGCGGAGTTTGGTGCTAAACAAGGAAGTATCCGTGAGCCTTCCTCTTCTCCGAAAAGTTGGCTATATTCGTGCTCTTTCTATCTTTTCTGGAGCACAAAGATACACTGACAGCGGGACCACGCTCATTTTAACGTTCAAAGAACAAAACATAGAAGCGGACTGAGAAGAGGGGAGGGCTCGCCGACTGGGGCCCATCTCCCCACCACTTTTGTGCTAAAGCAACATTTAAGAGCACACTACACACACACACAAACAAACAAACACACGGGATGAAAAGAAATCGCTGCCCCTCCTCAATTTCTATCTCAATTTCAACTGACTACTGATGGGAGGTGAGAGGGAAACAGGAAGGAGGAGGCGGATAGCATCACTTTCGTGCTTGTCCTTGTGTTTGCCTTTGTGTTCGGTTCTGTTCCAATCTAAGTTTGGCTCTCTTTTAACCGACAAAAATGGAGCACGCTGTGTAGGAGATGGAATCGAACCGAACCAAACCGAGTTGAGAGAATAATAATATGATTAAACGGAATGAAGAGGAGAGCAAAGATAAGAATGAAATCAAACGTATTATTTTTGAACTTTCATCATATGGCTGAAACATCACGTCGATCTGGCCTACCATAAGCAAAAAGGAGTAGATTCTAGGTTGGGGATGAGATTTAAGAGTGATGTCTCAGATACTTATCTTCGTCGAGCTATCTATTTGACAAGTGTAGAACAATAGAAAGGGTGGGCGGAAAAGTGAACATCCCCTCTCAGTTTCATAGCTCACCGGCGATGAGGGATAGTTGCACAAATAGCGAACGAGTTAGAGATCATAAGTCTCACGGACAAGTAAAAAATTGACTTGCTGCTCCGAAATCGCACGTCGGCGAGTGTTTATCAGTCACGTCGTTCACTCCGTTGTGTTACTGATATCAATGTTTGAGTAAGCCCTTCGGAAAAATTGGGCGGGGCTTGTACGCGAGCTCATCAACGTTTTGAAACCAAACCCCTAACATCTCTGATTAGAACAAAAAAGTGGTCGGATAGATTTTGCATAAATGGTACAGAGGGCAAAGGGCTCGGAGGACCGCGCACCCACCGCCACCACACATGCATTGCGCATCCTTTGCATTGTTTGTCGGCCGCTCTCCGCTCATCTCTCGCTCTCTGTCCTACCGTAAGATCATCGTTCATAGAGAAACTACGTCATCACAATCGTTCGCAAAACTTGTTGCGCATCCTAGAGACAATGCTGCGGCGCGAGATGCAGCGTGGAAAAATAGCGCAGAGACCAATCGGACGCAGGGTGGCCCGATCATGAACAGTCACTGGGTACAGTTGAGAGATCGCCGGCGCCAAAGGGATACTTTCTAAAATTGGCGAACTATGAACGACGAAGGTTGAAAGAGGTACGGCCAACTGGTCGTGGTCTCTCTGTGTGCGCGTGTGTTTCTCACTTTTCAATGGATCGGATTGGATTTTGATCGGATTCACTCCGGGGACTTTTGAAGTTCCATAAGTGTCTTTCTAGGCATCCAGGTCAACGAAACGATCTTTATGATTCTTCATCTGCATATACCCGAAAAAAAAACGTGTTCTTAGTTTTTGATCAATCAACTGTCTGATCATTAAACTGGGATCGGAGGCCTTCCTAGACCGGAATTGTCGCAAATGTAGCTTCAAAATTCAGTCACACATTCTCGTGGGCAGAACTAGAACCAGAACCAGAAAGGTCTGTCCAATAAACTAGTACAAGCTCTTCCCACGTCAAAGACATCTATCTCACATATCTCATCACTCATTTCAGCTGCAGAAAAAGTAGTGCTCTGGCCCTGCCCTCCTACTACTTTCCGCCTTTTCTTCCTGGTTTCATTGGCTGATTAAATATGTATATGATGTTTCATCTGCGGAGTGGCAGCAACTTTGCTCAACTATGTGGACGTCGTCCGCTGAACCAAAACACAAAGACGTACTTGAAAGGGGGAGCGATTTTGAGTAGGAGGGCTAAAATTGGCGAGACAGGTGCAGATGGGGGCTAAGCCGGAAGAGGGGGAGCGGCACGAGCTCCTTCAAATAGAAATTCAGGAAAAGTCATGACGTTTTCGATTCGGCTGCAATTGAAAGCCTTCCGGAGAAAAAGGAAGTTGATGTTTGAAGAGTCTCTTCCACTCGAAAGCAAAGGGGGGCATGAACTTTGTGACATCTTCTCTCTTCCTCTCTTGCGCTTTTGCTTTCACTTTTGGAAGAGCACCATTGAGCAATTGAGCTGTTGTGTGGTGGTGTGAGCCGAGCTTTGCTCTTCTCTTCTTGCACACAAATCTATCCTATTCCGACCAGCAGCCAGTCGGAGGGGTCCTCCTGACCGACCGACCACGACGTGTTTCAAAACTAAACGCGGAAGCATTTTTCGTCCGTTTTCTCTTCTCCTTGGCCTCCTCGTCCCTCCCGGAGCAACGGCAACACACAAAAAGAGAGTGCCCTCTGAAGCGAAGAGTTCAATGTCCAACGTCCGATTACTTGGGTGCGATTGGTACTGGTTTTCCGAAACGCAGCAGGGGTTTGAAATTGGATTGTACAAAAGTGTAAGGTTCGAAATCGGCAGATGATTATTGAAAGTTGAAAAGTAAAAGATCGAATTACGGTAGACCAAAGTCCAAGTGCTTCTAATAGCTCCCTCCTAAATAGCCATACAACGATTCTTGCCGGAAAACTCTGAGACGTTGGGACTACTCAAGTTCTTCATGATTGAAGACAAATTGCGTTTAGAGCATGCTCATGTACTTTCAAACTTTTGTGTTTCCATTCATATGACATTGGAACTTGTAATTTTCAAGACTGGGATTACGGTAGTCAAGTGTCCGTTGAGTGCTCTCACGAAAGTCATGGAAAACTGAATCTTGTTTGAGCATCAACAATTTCCTAAAAATCGGATACACATGACCGGAGAGTGTATTCAAACTACATATAGACTTGACCGGAACTAGTCATGTGCAAAATATGAGCAGATCTTACGAATTTTGAGATGAGAAATCAGAAACTTCGGAGTCATAAAGCCGAGACGGAATAATAACTCATACTGTGCTAGCGCCGTTGGATCCGAAGCCTCGCAGCCATTCCATTCTTTGTGGAATATGGAATTTGATCAATAACCCTTTTTGTTCCTTCTGATCAACTCTTTCTTTACTCCACGTAGGCAGTACTAATGAGAAATAGGCGTGTGTTCATGATCCTGTCATCACACTTTCTTAGGAGTCTGCTGCCATCCGTGTGGCTGTGTTGTGGTGGTCATTTCTACCACTCTGTACACCTATTCCCCTTTACGGATCATAATACATTGAAGAGTTATATTGTTCTTCTTTGTAGTCGAGGAGAAATTGAAGGAAATTATTGCCAATTCTCTTGGAAGAACGCAATTTCAGTGAATTTGTACTCTGGTTGAAACTTGGAGAATTAATAGAAGCTGACAGGGAACCGGGAGAAAACATGAAGATAACTTTGAACACTGACTATTGTTTAGTGAGGACCAGAGAGAAAAGAGTCAAGAGCGACAGTTGTTAGTTGATACCTGACAGACTTCCGAAAAAAAATAAGTATTGCGTTTCATAAACTTTCAATAGCATTTAGCCAGCCGAACGGGACCCGCGACCAGTGAAACCTCAAAATAAAAAGTCGACTTTTGGCATCCGGAAGTTGCATGTCTCCAAAAAGATCCAGGAAGCGCGAATGTTGTGTGGGAAACGTACATACTTATGTTTATTTTTAAATCCGTACAACAGCACTTTTGTGTTCTGTTCCTGGTTCACGCGGAAATGATGTGCTGCTCTGGATTATGGTCGGGGATCTCTGATAGGTCTTTCAGAATTGCTAATCTTGAGAGTTGGTGAATGGATGGAAATGAACCCGATTATGCATAGATTGATGGCGATTCCAAGAATTTCGAACTTATTTTCATATTCTCGCATTCATTGCACACTAACAAACCCCCTGATTTGAGTCCAGGGGGTTACTGTAGGTGTTAGGATGAGAACTTTCATTTATCTTTCGATGATACACTTGATGTTCGGTCTATCTAACTCATACTCAAGGGACCATGATCTAGTGAACTCGAAAAACGTTGAAAAAAGTGTATTAGTCCTCACGACTCCTTCTAAATCTGGCTCATTAATCATGGCAGTTGTGCGTGACCCGAAAATTGTTGCTCTATCACTCAGCCTTCCGTAATGTTGCACACGCATGTGTTGTTTGTGTATTGATCTCACGAAGACAAACGCGATTTTTCAATCTTTTCGCTCGCCTTCAACCTCAGCTCCTTCTCCTTCTCTTTCATTTCACACGAAGGGAGGAACTTTGATTTTTGCGCCGCGCCAAACCAAAGAGATCTTGTTGTTGAAACGTGCGGTCGTGCAAGCAATTCTCTCCTCATTCCAAGTGATCTTTAGAAGAAGAGAGAGGGGAGACGAGAGTGAGATGATAATGTTGGAGGACCCGGGAGAAGCAGAAGGAGAGGGAGAAGCAAAAAAGCTGGTCAGGGGTGTGTGTCCGAGAATAGAACAACCCGGAAGAGTGCGTCGGTGCAAGCGAACAAAAAGCGCGGCGTCGTTGGTCCTCCCCAGCCACCGGCCCGCATGCCGGAACTTTTCGCGGCGCCCCCTACCAGGGACCATTTTGCCACACTTTGAGGGGTCTACGTGCTTGCGCGAGCAGCCTCCAAGAGAAAGAAAATTCGCTCAATTGGAAAGTGAATGAGGAAGAATTGTTGTTTGATGAATAGATTGTGCGGATGGAAGAAGAAATAGAAAGACGAGAAGAAGAAGAAGAAGAAGTAGAAGTGAAGACGGAAACAATTTGGAGCGAAAGTAGAAAGGGATGAACTTTTGACTCGTGCTCACTCGACACGAGCAGAAAGGGACCAACAA